TGAAAAGGTCAAATCACTTTCTTCATATTACTTCATCTCACTGCAGGGTGGAAACTAAAAGGAATAATAACTTAATTTCCCCTTCCCACCAGAAAAGGCAGAAACATGGGTTTTTAAGATTTCCCCCAAGTATTAGGATTTATTTCTAAGACAAAACCGAAAGTCACTCAGCTTCTCTATTTGTCCAGAAACATCTGAAGAATAACTATTGTTTTTTTAAAAAAATCAACTTTATTGCTGTGTAAGTTATATCTGGCTGGATTCATTTACTTTAGGTGTCTAACTGATAGTTCGTACACCAGGTAGTCACTGCCACAGTGAACATCTGTAGGTCACTACCATGGAAGCACCAAAGAAGACGGTGTCTTAAGGAGTGCAATATGCTTCTCTGCATCAGTAGTTACGTTCTTTACATACCGTACACAGTGGTTTTTAATGAGCCTTAGACATTGAGGAGCGTTTTGAATCATAGCCAAGTTGCTCGACAAAGATAAGGTTCCTATACAACCAACTCTCACTGATCAATACAGGAGAAGTAGAAGATCAATCCTCACTACACCATCGACCCTATGTGGAATCCAGGTGAAGCACCACAACTCTTTTGCAGAAATGAAAATGTAACAGACCCTTCCTGTAACCACTGTTCATGGAACAAGAAAACGTGCTGGAGCTGACATTTTCCTTAGTCAATAATGGCTAAGCATTCTTCAATGGGCTTTTTTTTTTTTTAAAATTGATATAATTACATTACTCAAACTCAAACTCTTCTTGAAGAAGAATATGTAATTTTTCTTTCTAGTAATGTGAACGAGGAAAAATCAAGATGGAAATCACTTGGAGAGATTATTTTATTTTGATTAATAATATACTACTGAGGCTTTTAATTCAGGATAATAAAATTAAGAACTGGAAGAAACTGTAGAAACTACTAATGAAACCAAGACATGCATTTCATTCCAAGTTAATAAAGCCCACTGTTTCTAGAACTACAATTAAATTTAAGTAGTTCGACCAGCAATCATTCAAAGGCAACAGTTTTATAAAGTATATCTTAAAATGGACAAAAAGTTATATAACAACATATATGCTTTTAATCTTTATATTTTGAATTGAATTTGTGACTTAAATTGTTCCATAAATCTGTGTTAGTTTAAACTTCCCCAAGAAGAATTATAAATTTAATAGCACCTGGCCCTAAAATTTATTTCAGAGCTACATTTAAATGAAGAAATAAACCTTTCAATGGAAGGTTCTAGTCATTTCTCCACATCCTTTGCCAAGCAGCGCTGAGGAATAGACCAGACTTGGCGCCAAGGAGTCACATGGAGGCACTGCAGAAAGAATCATGGCCAAGCTTTAATGAGCTCCATCTGTGGACTTCATCCTTTCCCTGGAGGTCAGTAGGATCAAAAAGGCACAGAGTGTGGGAGGAGTCTCAGGGAGTACAGTCACCCAGCACCTTCTACTTGCTTCCCTGGCTTCTAGAAGCCAGGAAAGTCTAGATAAGTTATTCTTATATCAGCTGTTTAAAATCTCAGGAAGTGGCCTAGAGAGACCAGTCAGCAGTTAAGAGCACTTGCTCCTCTTGCTAAGGACCCAAGTTTGATTTCCAGCACACACATGGCATCTCATAACTATTTGTAATCCAGTCCAAGCAGATCGAATGCCATATTCTGGCCTCTGCAAGCATGATACATATATGGTACATAGAAACACACACACACAAACACACACACAGAGAGAAAAACATTCATGCACATTAAAAATAAAATCTTAGGAGGAATAAATGGCCTGATTCTCAGGCATCAGTCCTTCTGGGATATTTCAGAACTTAATTTGTTTAACGTATATATTTTTTTTCATTTAGAAGTAGATTTTTTAAATTTGGTTTTCAGTCTTGCAACATTTAAGGTTACAATTCTGAATACCTGTTACAAGGACTGATTGCCAAGAATTTTTTTCTCTTTGTTGCGTTATAGTTAATAATATCTTTGTGAATGAGAGATAACCAATGTTCTCAGAATAACATGCAAAACATTCCCATAAAATAAAATCCACTTGTCTGTAATAAGATACCATCTATGATGACACACTATACTCCTGAGAGACACTATTATTAAGACATTCTATATCTCAGTTATCAAAACAGTCAGGAAGTGTTCCTATTACCTGGCTATCCTGACTGAGAGTATATATTCCTACTGCCTTTTAAAGAATACTACCAATTTTTCTTATAATTAAATTATCTCAGTATACTTAGTTTTATGTATCAAATAGTAATTTATGACATTTTCAGGAAGGATCAACTCACATTCAGTACAGGGTTGCTATGTAAAATCTTCACAATACTAAAATATATTCCTAAAGTGACCTTGGAGGCGACAGACATAAGAATGTTCTGAAGTTTCTCACTCTCGGGTATACAGCATACATTTTCTTTCTATGTTTTTATAGGTTATAGAATTTAGCGGATACAACCTAGATACATTTACTTTTCAAAGTTACACACAGTTTTGGAATGTAGAAGTGTGGACTGTATAATTTACATGTTCTCCCTTTTCTCAATTTACTACTTTGTATTGTTTAATGTTAGACAGTGATAGACAATGGAGTGGATAAATCAAACGCCTTCTTCACAGGCTATACAGAGTTTTCCATATAGAAATGAAGACTTTTTGGGGGAGAGGCTGTAGGGATTGAGATAGGGTCTCAAGTAGCCAAGGCTAGTCTAAACCTCACTAACTACATAGCCAAGGCTTGACTCCAATTCCTGATCCCAGACCTTTGTTTCAAGTGGAAAGATCACAGACATGTGCTTCCATGTCCAACAACATGGTACTTTTTTTTTTAATTTGCAAATTAATACTTCCTCTAACTTGAAAGTGTGGCTTTAAATGTTAAAATATTTAATGAAAACTAAGAAATTCAGTCAGTGTTCTGGCTGTTGCTTCTATATAGTAACCAAAGATTTGTCTACTTGGGACAACATAGAGTTAGGACTGAATTTTCTAGTATCCACAGTGGTGACTGGGGTTCTTTAGATAAATTATCTATGACTATGGAGGACAGCAGACGCACATGTTAGGAGGGACGATTCATGAAAATAGGTATTCCCTTAGCTGGAGGAATGAAGGAAGTGCTTCATGCCACTTCTAGCATGCACTGAGAGCCTCAAGGTTTATAAGACATTTATCATGAAAATTAGAACAAAACCAAAGGCTCTACCTGTCCTTTCTACAATCAAAACATGGAGATCAAATTAGAAATATATTCTGAGTCCTGACAGAGATTTTGGCAGCTTGCTCCCTTTCCTGGCTACTCTCCTGCTCCCGTGTCTGACGTTTTCCTCGGTTTACTCTGCAGTAGTAAGGCTGATAAGAATGTGTGCCTGCTGGCAGCAGCTTCATGCTTATATACCCACGGTTGGTCTAAGCAGACTATCAGACCAAGGGCAATTAAAAGTCCCTTGAAGAAAGCAGATGCGATCTGTGTGCTTGGCTCAGTTCAGAATTATGTGTGTGGTATTTCATAAGCACAACTTGATGGCAGTGACGGTGTACACACAGTCCAAATGCCAACCTCTCCCAGCCTCGCTGGGAGCTTTCTGGCAGGAGCTCTAGACCTCCTAAGAGGCCAGCTACACCATTCTGTTCCCATAGTTACGTCTTTCTTTTAAATGAATTAAAGGAGGAAAAATAATTTCATTTTGATCCCAGAAGGAGTCTCCAAAGTGGCCCCAGGATGGAAGGAATGAACTAAACACAGCACAGTGCAAGGTACTGACAGGCAGGGAATGGAGGAACAGTGGCTTGCAACAGAGCCTCTCTTGTGCTGTCCGCTCCAACATACATGCTTCCTGGGCTTTGCTTGCTCAGCTGAAACAAATAGCTTATACCAAAATAATCCAGCCAGATGAAGAGCTATGCAGCAGAAAGACGGGGTTAACTCAGTTGCAGGCTGGCAGGTTCTCTCTATTCCTACTCTCCCTTTCTTGAACAGAGGCAGCGCTGACCCTCCTGCTTGGCAGTTCTGACTGGGACAGATTTGAAAAACACTGGGAGACAGCCATAATCTAAAGCCCTTAGGACTGTCAGCTTGGCAGCTCATTAGCATGGCCTGAGGAGCTTAAGGAGGAGAGGTTTCTGAAGAGATTTCACTTCATCTGGGAGTCACTCATTTCTAAAGGCTTCTCCCTGCAGTGCTAAATTGCAGCCAGGGCCTCAAAAGTCAACAATAAAAGTCAGCAATATCTGTTGTCTACACGGCTTCATATTCCACTTCATTGACTGCTGATTATGTGTTTTGTCTTGTTCTTTTCTTCTCCCCCCCCCCCCGCCCCTCGCCTTTCCCCTTGCCCATTGTTTCCAAAGATAAGCAAAAGAATTTTCCTTACTCTGAGGTAGGGCAAGACAGGACAAGAGCTGGCTAACATCACCTGGGTGCGCCTGAATCTGTAAGAAGTAAATGTAAGAATAATCATTTTGATTCATTCAGGCGGCCAAGGACGCTGAACAACAGGTCCACCTTTGGATTCCTCAAGGCCTTTGACTCGTCACAAACACACCAAGACGACAAAACCGCTCTGCTTGTCTTACTAGAAAACAGAAGAAGGGTTCTAGACTCTTAGGCAGATGCTTTATATTTTTTATAAAATGATACCCCTGACATAAAATTGCTCAAGTTGATGCATTTTAATCTTTTCCTATACAGTAAAGTAAGTTCTCTGCAAAGTGCACTTCTTCATAGTATGGGACGAAATGTAAACTATCAATAGAGAAGACAACTTCTAACCTTTCCCTCTCAGCCTTTGAAAGGCAAAGTAACCCACCTCCTGATGCTTTCTTGAGGTAGCCAGCGATTGTAAGCAATGCAAATCCATTCACCTGGATGGAACAACCTTTCAAAGTCAACCAAAACCTGCCCATCACATATACGTATCTCTATATGTCCTCGCTCCAAAATGACTGATCTACAAACCACTCAGAACACTTTCTGTCCAAAAATAGTTTTAATTAAGCAGTGAAGAGTAGGCATATGCGGCATTATAAGAGCCCACCAGGAAACGGTAGCTGGTGAGTGGGCTATGAGCTGTGGCTCATATGACACAGCTTTCTGCAGTCCTGTCATCCAGGGAGGGTCTCTACCTCTCTGCGTCCATTTCAGGAATACATGGTCAGCTGCAGCCACTCTCGGATGGAGACCTGAATCAGGCCATCCCTATCTCGGTCCAGAGTCTTGAAAGCCCGAAACATGGCATCCAGGCGAACCAGGCAGCTGATGAAGTTGTTAAAATCCATACTGCCATCTTCGTCAGCATACCTCCGGACAATCATTAGGTAAAGTTGCTCATTTAGCTGGAAGCCTGCTGCCTGCATGGCTCCGTGCATCTGGGATCTTCTGAGGGAGCCAGAATGGTCGCTGTCATACTGCTTGAAAACACACTGCCATTTCTTGATGTTGTTCCACAGGTACTTAAATTCCTCAAAGCCTAGTTTCCCTGTGGTGTCACTGTCCATGACAGACACAATGCTCCTGCAGGTGTCAAGGCTGAAGCCATCTGTCTTCAGCTCCTTATGCTTAGAAAGGACTTTGTTGAGAATATTCATCAAGTCAGTAGCACCCACCTCCATGTCGGGTCCAGCCAGCTGTGTAAATTGCTGCCGAAAACGCCTGACTTCCTCACTTTCTGAGGCTTCCACGACAGTAAAATGCTGCTGTCGGGGAGGCGGCTCTGGGGTATACTGAGCTGCAGCAGCCTCGCTGATAAAATTGACAATTCCTCCAATGATCCCTCCGATGTTGCCCCCGCCTGCTCTTGCCTGGCCACCTCCTCCAAGAAGGCCTCCAAGAGCCCCTCCAAGACCCCGATCTGCACCTTCCAGGATCGCCTTTGCGAGAAACATGCTTACAGGTTCTCGAGCAGGGGTGGAAGCTGCTAAAATCCTGGAGATGGTTTAGAGGGAGCTGCAACACAGTCAGAGTAGTGCACCTGTGGAAGAACTGGCTTTTCTGTACCAGTCTGAAAGGGTACCACACCCAAGACAGTTCACTTCCAACTGAAGTTGCTGAGTTCCGTTGGGTCCTAGCACCTGCCATGTTTTCACTGGCCTCAGTGAAGTTATTTTTCCATGTCTCTAGATAGTCCACATTAGAATTCTACCTTAAGTAGAAAATATAAAACCATACGTTTGGACTGCATTGAGTTCCTACTTTTATTAGCACCCAAAATAGGATGTGAGTTTTGCTCACAAGAGATAACTGGCTCAAAATCAACATCTTTTTTACCAAGGAATATATATGGTAAGGGTAGAATTGAAGAATTCTTGGGCATTTGAAACAGATATTCCCATTCCTTCCTCCAGAATCCAATTCTTAAGAAAAACTTGGAAGAGGTTCTTCTTTAGTCAAGGTCTCCAGATGCTACCCTGAGAAGTTCTGATTCTGGAGGTCTTCCCAGTAATTATACTTTTGGAATCATTTTGAGGATAATACTTATAGAAAAAAATTATATATGCATATGTCTTTATAGATCCCACAGTGCTGGAGTCACAGGCAGCTGTGAGCTGCTGGTGTTGGTGTTGGAAGAGGCTTCCTCCTTTGCAGACCACACTCTTGATTGCTGAGCCAGCTCTCCAGCCTTAGGTGTTAATCTTATTTAAATGTTTGAAGGAATTCATCAGTGACATAAGGTCTCTGGCCTTTCTTTGTAAAGAAGTTACAGACTTAGGTCCAAACTTACATTCTTGGGGCTAAAGAGATGGCTGGGTCATTAAGAGCATGTGCTGCCCTTGCAGAGAACTCAGTTTAATTCCTAGCACCCATATCAAGTGACTCACAATCTCTTGTCAACTCTAGCTTCAGGGGATCGGATACCTCTTTCTGGCCCCTGTAGGCATATAAACACACACACACACACACACACACACACACACCACACACACACATGCACGCACGCACGCACGCACTTACAAATCAAATCAAATATATATTTTATTTAAAAAAAAAAAGAGGCTGGTTCATTTGAGTCATTAAAAGGAAATAAGACCTTAGGTCTTTAAAGACTTTTCTGAGTCTTCATGATTCAGTCATGATAGGCTACATATTTTTAAGAATTTCTCCATTTTGGGCTAAGCTATCTGGATGAGTAGTGGATGGTTGCTCAGAACACTCATTGTTGCCTCTGTAAGATTAGTGGTTATAGTTCTTCTACTGTTCCTGCTACTCTGCCTGGCTTTCTTCGACGTGACATTTGCGAGATTCAATCATAGAGTTTTACTTATATGAGTGCACCATTGCTCTCTCCAGCCCCGATCATAGGATTATAACAAGCGTTCTCACAGTCAGGGTATGACAGGTTGGTCTCAGACAGTCCTCTGGGACATCCTACCTTTGATATGCTACAGTCTAATCCAAGTCCTCCAGGTGGCTGTGTGTGAAAGGTCTATTGGTGAATTCAGAGAAAGACAGCTAGGGCTGAATGGTTACAATATCATATTGTGTAAGAACTAGGGAGACTGCCGAGTTAGTAAAGCGTTTCTGGTGGGAACAAAGGGAGCTCGGCTTGGACCCTAGGACCCATGTAAAAAGCCAAGTGCCACAGCACATCCCTGTAACACAGGTCTGGGGAGGTGGTGACAATAGAATCCTTGGGCCTGCTGGCTGGCCAGTCTGGCCAAATGAGTGAGTTTGATAGTCTCAAAAAGTAAAATAGAGAGTAATTGAGGAAAAGATAAACATCAACCTCTGACCTCTATATGTGCCCTTGTGTGCCCATGCATGCACATGTGTTTGTGTGTGTGTGCATGCTCGCATGCATGAGCCCACAAACAGACACACACACACACACACTATTTTATTACTGAGTACCTCGGGAAGGTTCCAGTTTCAAGTCTGAAAAATGACAATAAAATTATCTTCGCTGCCTGCTTCACAATGATTCGATCTAACTTCTTACACATTGGGACACGGGATAGGTAGTTAGGATACAAAGGTAGGTAAAACAGAACTGCTGTGCTCAAAACCAAGTAGATCATAAGAACTGACCATAAGTATAAGCTTGTGTCCATTTACACATTTCTATTATCAATACTAAACCATTATGTCATAGATCATAATTTGGTGTTAAAATTTCATAAAAAAATCCCCTGAAAGACAAAAAAACATATTCCAGATAAAGAAAAACTAAAAAAATGTAAGCTCTGTTCAAGATGATGAAATTAATGTGTTTTATACTATACTACAAGCTAACACAGTTGCCAAAGGAGAGTGATGAACTCCGCTGAGGCGAAGGAAAGGGAACATCTATTGCAGAAGAGAGAACGCATGCGCCTGTCTGCAGGTGGTCATTCTCCAAGTGTGCAATGATACACAAGGACAGTGCAGTAGAAGCACAGGGGAGCCCGGGGATGCTGGGTGCTCCAGAGGCAGCAAACAGCACCGTGCGACAAGAGTCAGTTCATAGGAGTGAAAATTCTGAGACAGCAATGAATCAGAATTGGACTGGAAGGGATTCTGGACTGCTGTGTAACAGGGTTTGCCTCCTGGGCTCCTGCAGAGCCAACCATAGCTCAAAATCATAAGAAGACAGAGGTGAAATCACGGTGGGTCTGTACAATTCTACAACAACAAATTGGCTGGCCATCGGGAAGAGAATGGTAGCTACAGACTCTCAAACTTCCTCACAACTGATGATCACCACAGAGCCCAAGAAGGCCTAGAAATTGCAATGTTCCTGCTTCAGCTCTGGAATGCTGTGATTAAAGGTATATGCTGTGGCACCCAACTAACTAACTAACTAACTAACTAACTTACACTTATTTATTTATTTATTTATTTATTTATTTGATCGTGGATATGATGTCCTCAATGTCCTGTCTCTATTAGCCAGACCCAATTACTGGCCTTATTTCTCATGGGCACAATGAAACTGCTTTTATGAGCACCAAAAGACAAAGTGTAGTCCTTAGCTGTGTGAGAAAAAGTACCCAGAACAGACTTCCTTCCTTTTAAGAGATTCACAGGGCTCACTGTGTCTCACAAAGACTTAAATTCATTCACAGGAGCCTCTTTAAGAGAAAGGGGCTTTGTTTTGTATGACTCTTCTTTAAGAATCACTATTTTTATTTTCTTTTACATGTATGGGTGTTTTATTTACATGTATGTCTTTGTAGCTCATGCATGCAGACTCCATGAAGACCATAAGTGAGCATCAGATCTCCTGGTACTGAAGTTATAGTTGCTTGCCGCCCTGTGGACTCTGGGAATCGAACCTGGTTCCTCTGGAAGAACAGCCAGTACTTTTAAGCATGAAGCCATCTTTCTAGGTATTTGTATTTCTATTGTTATTTTTATTTTTACTGCTGTAAATTAACTTGGTAGCAGTTAGTACCATATACAGTGTGCCTCATCTGATATGTTGTTTTGTTGTTTTGCTACATCTTAAGTTCCTCTTATTTCTTTACTGTAAAGAAAGAGGATGTTCGGCTAACAGTTTATTATAATCATGACAGTCTAAAATGCTGTTGCTAGGTGAGTAAGTCTCTTCTTCTTCTTCTTCTGGACCATTTAATCCTCTATGATTACTTACTAGAGCATTTATAACAACCTGAATTGCTGTCCAAGAGGAAACACCATTGGCGAAGCCTGCAGGAGGAGGTTAGAACAGGCCACACCTAATGGAAAATGTGGTCCCAATCTAGGATGGAAGAGTTCCTAACTTAAGAGCTAAACAATGATACACAAATGCTGTTAGCAATATTATTTCTCTCGGCACAGAGTGTAAAAACAACTTGACTATCTACCAACTGGTGAATGAATATTTGCTATAAAGAAATACTATAAACAAAATGAATTAATCACTGATACACACTGCATGGGCAAATCTCAAAGCATGTGAACAGCCAGACACAGGGAACTACACGTCGTGACATTCCTGTTGTGTGAGATATCCAGCAAGTCAGGCAGCAGATTAATGGCAGCCTGGGCTCTAGCAGGGAAGCATAGAAGAGTTATACAATGAATGACAGAAGGAATCATGAGAGGCCGATGGAGGTGTGCTAAAACTGGCTGATGGTGATGGCTGTCTAATCTGTAAATCAATAGAGGGGAAACTGCAGTGACTTGTGTCCTTGAAATAATTGAATTAAACATAATTTGTAAATCCACAGGAATAGTTTACAGCAAAAAGGACACAACACTTTTCGTCTCTGTGGTGTAATTAGCCAGCTCTGTGGTCATGAGGTAGAATTTCCTCTCTTGGCCTAGCAGCTTACCACAAAATGAAGAGAATGGGCAATTAATTTGATAGCAAAGGTCTCAGGTCCTTGTAGTTGAATTCATTTGGATTTTCATGTGTCATGCAACAGTGACAGTAGCAACATCATTCTTGAGTTCAGTTTCCTTGTGGTACCTACAACTCATTATCACACACATACCTTGAACTTGGTTCTATTAATGTGAAAGACATATTATTATTCCTAACTCTATGTTTATGCATTGTCTCATTTTCAAAAGTATTCCTGACTACAACCTACCAGATGCATTACTCCTCTAAGTAGGATTTGACCATCACAGAGAGGGATTGAGTTTACATCAACTGAGGACTCCCAGTTGCCATCTAAGGTAAGGTCTTTCTGTCAGGCATGGCTCTGTCTCCTGCAACATGAGGTGGAATGGACATTCTGAGTTTGGCAATCATTTGTTGATCAGAAAGCCATGTTGGATGCAATCAAAAGTCTTTCTGGAGTCCATGTAAACTGTATCAAACTGTCCTTTATGCTGGACTCTTCCTCTTTCCAGAGTGGGGATGAAAACAGTTGAACACAATCTTTTCTTTACCAAACCTGCTCTTTACTTCTCTTTGCACACAGGGGAGGCCAGAATCACTCACTTGCTACAGTGAGGAAGTCTGGACTGTTGCAGCCCCTTTCTGTTCCAAATATTAACCTCCCAGATACCCAAGAATTTAATTCTTGGGGCTGGAGAGATA